TACACACATGTGCTTTGGTGAGGCCCCCTGATACACACATGTGCTTTGGTGAGGCCCCCTGATACACACATGTGCTTTGGTTTAGGGAAGATTCATAAATTTTGCTGAAGGGGAAAAAGGTCCTGTGAGAAGCTGGCTGAAGCTGGCTTCCTTTTGCTTGTTTTCAGTGGCTTGTTGGGCCCCTCTCCTGCCCTGGAGCAGAGCTGGTCCTCTTGGGAATGTGGGTGATGAACACATGCATAAAATAAGAAAAAAGAGTGTGACTTAGAATCAGGAGATCTGGCTTGGACGCTGGCTTGCTCACTGTTTTTGAAGCTGTGGTTGGGTCACCTCTCTCCAGGTTCAGTTTTCTTTTCTGTAAATTGGGCTTCCTGGGCCTCATTCATAGTCTTCAGGCTGCTGGGAGGTTTAAGTGAGAACACATCAAAGCACCCAGCAAAGCCACTGGCTCACAGAAGGCCTCCGCAGATACGTGATGCCGTTCCCTGAATGCCCCCACTGGGGATAAACTCCCAAAAGAAGAGTCACACCCTATCTCTAGACGCCCTGTGTGAGGGGGCATTTGAGAGTTGGGGTTGATGCCAGCAAATCAAAAACTGCTACTTGCAGTCATATTACAGGCTGTCAGTCAGAAAGTTTTAATTTTTAAAAATTACATTTATGCATTTACTTAGGGGGCGGGTGCAGGCATGTCGTGGAGATGGACGGACAATTAGCCAGAGTCACTGGTCTCCCTCTATGATGGGACTCAGCAGGCACTTCGCCCTGTGGGCCATCTCAGGGGCCCTCAAACCTTTTAAACATTTATTTAGTGTGTGTGTGACTGTTTGTGTCCACTCAGGTGCACAGAGTGGCTGTGGGGTCCGAGGACAACTTGCCTGAGTCGGGTTTTCTCCTTCCACCGTGCGGATCCCAGGGCTCGAGGCTCAGATCTTGGTCTTGACGGCAAGAGCCCTTTCTCACCCAGCTGTCTATCTCACTGGCCCTCAACTCTCTTATAGCATTTCTTTCATTTTCACTTGCTTTTATGTTTGACACATGTGACGGTTTAATATTGATTGCCAACTCAATGAGATTTAGGACCAACGAAGCGACAAAACCTCTGCGCGTGACTCTGAGGGACTTTCCAGAGTGGGTTGACAGAGGAAGAGCCACCTGAATGTGGGCGGCACTGGGATAAACCCTGCCTCCTCATATGAGTTACTTGTCTCACTTCTATGACAAAAATATCTAACTTTAAAAGGGAGCTATTTTCTCATATTTCTGGGTTCAGTCATCATGGGGGGCGTGCGGGGGAAATCATGATCATAGGAGCTTGAGGCAGCTGGTCACGTGGCATTCACCCTGGAAACAAAGAGATGGATGCTGGACTTCATCTCACCTTCTCCCATTCAGTCAAGATGCTTTACCCACTGAACCATCTGGCCAGCCCAAACACTGGCTTTTTAAATAAAAGCTTTGTTGAGACAGAAACCACACAATGTAAAAACCACTCTAAACTGTACACTTCCATCATTTTTAATATATTCTTAGTATATTCACAGAATTGTGTGACCATTACCACAATCTCAGAACACTTTGTCACCCTCAAGAGAACACCTTGGAGAGAAGGCTGAGAGGTTGCTGGGTCTTACTTCTCCACCAGAGCACTGGAGTTCAGGTCCCAGCAAATGGTCACACACACCTGTAACTCCAGCTTCAAGAGACCCAGCGCCCCTTTCTCGCCTCTATAAGCACCCACACACACAAAATAAAACTTAAAGAAACCACACTCTAAGACACTCTCCATTTTTTTTCCAAGTGCTAACTTTTAAACTGGGGCTGGGCCCCTTTGGTTTGGCAGGAGTGACAGCTGGCCATTTCTCCATGGCAGTCCATCGTCTGGCCGTACATAACAGAACCGTGATCTTTCAGGTGCCCTGAGAAGTGGCTTGGGAACTGAGTCAAGCGTAAACTCAGCAGGGGATGCAAGAGGAACACAGTTCATTTCTCCCTCACCCAATCCCACAGGCAGCTGGGGCCAGCTCACAGCTCCTTGTTGCCTAGTGTAAAACTGTTTTCTCTGGATCCAACATGCCAGCTGGAGCTCTGGCCAGCCAATCCTCTTTCCGGACAGCGAGAATAAGGACAGAGTAAAAGTGTATGCCATTGGCTTCTCAGAAAATGTGCCAGTGGCTTCCAAAAGCATATCTACTGGCATCCCATTGACAGGAACTTGCTCATATTGCCACGTTGACCTGCAAAGAAGGCTGGGGGACTTAGCCCTATTTAAATCAGCCACAGTAGCTGTTATTTAAAAAGGAGACTAGGCATTGGAGCATGTATCCAATAGTCCTGCATAGCAAAACAACTAAAACTCTGGTGGACAGCAGTGAGCCCCAACCCCATCCCCACCACCCATACTTGCTCTCAGGTTCTTGGTTAGTTGGGAAGCTTTGGATCAGCAACAGCCTTGATAAGCTTAGATTCAGTTCGAGGTTGGGTCCTGTCCGTCCAGCTCCGTATTTCCCCAGGACCAGCACTACTAGGGTGTGTTCTCTTCGTGGCAAATGTTAGGTACACAGGAAGTCAATCAAAGACATGTGAGGCCTTTAGAAGCCTCCTGAGTGACTCCTTCCTACCCTCTGTTAACCAAAGCCAGATGCAGGCCAAGTTAACATCAAGGGCAGAAGGGATACTCTATTCATTTTGATACCTAACATTATAAACTCACATGGCAAAGGGTCTGTGCATAAAATTTGAACACAGGGAGTGGTTGAGCATGGTGAATAATGATGCATTGTTCTACAAAAGATAATGAACATTGCCAGGTGTCCTAGTCAGCTTTAACTGTCAATTGGACCCAACCTAGAGTCACTTGATAAAGAGTCTCAACTGAGGGACTGTCCATATCTCGTGAGTCTGTGGGCATGTCTGGGGGAGGGATTCCTGATTATTAATTGACATGGGGGGCAGCCCATTGTGAATGGCACGGTTCCCTGGGAAGATATAGTTACTAGCTGGGTAAATGAGCAAGCAGTGTTCCTCTGTGATTTCTGCTTCATGTTCCTGTTTGAGTTCTCGCCCTGATTTCCCTCAGTGATGGACAGTGACATGGAAGTATAAACCAAATGCATCCTTTCCTCCTGAGAGTTGCTTTTGCTGAGACTGTTTTATTGCAGCAACAGAGAGGAGGCCAGAAGACCAGTAATCCTGGAACCAGCCATTCATCCTCTGAGGTCCCCAGGAGCAACTGCCTCTTGCTGTTGCCATGATTTCCACCCTGGCCTGACTTCCGGGTTGATCCCCCTTGATAATCTTTCTGCCTTTCGGGACTAAGCTAGGCCCTGCCTCTCACAAGAGTGCTTCAAGCCACAGTTCTTACTTCCTCTCCACCAGCCACCTGCAGCCTTTTCTTGCCTAGAGATGGGCTTCTAAGACTCCTCAAGTGTGACCAGAATGTACTTGCTTTCGCTTCAGTTCCCAAAGTCTAACTGAGGGCCAGATCCTCTTTACCCTCTGTCCCTCCCAAACACAAAGGGCTTATCATGTTTCCCTTCTGTGATATCACAGCTTAACGATCCTTTAGGAGGCAGTGAGATTCCAGACAATCAGACCCTTGAACCCCAAAAATCGATTTTATTTTTGCTGGATTAAGACCGGGTTTATAGAGGCAGATGACTAAATTGGCAGAGTGCTTGCAGCTCAAGTCTGAGGACATGAGTTCCCATCCCCAGCACCCACATAAAAAGCCAAACCTGAGGACTAGAGAGATGGCTCAGTAGTTAAGAGCATTGGCTGCCCTTGCAGAGAACCTGGGTTCAATTCCTCACAGGAACCCAGGCTCACAATCCTCTATAACTCCACTCTATGGAATGTGATGGCCCTTTTCTGCCCCTGCATGCACATGGTGCACACACATACGTGTAGACATAGCACTCACACATAACATAATAATAATAATAATTTAAAAAACAGACCTGGTGTACATTTATAATTCTAGCACTAGAGAGGCAGAGATAGGCAGATCCCTGGAACTTGCTGCCTAGCTAGCCTGCAAAATTGGTGAGTTCCATCCAAGCCAGTGAGAAATCAGAAAATAAGATGCAATTGAGGAAGATGTGCATTTTATCTGGCTTGCACATGCTCCTGAATGCACATGTGTGCATACACACACACACACACACACACACGCACGCACGCACACGCACACACACACACACACGCACGCACGCACGCACGCACGCACGCACGCACGCACGCGCGCGCGCGCAAACAAAGCAGAACTGGTTTTACAACAGTGAAAATTCAGAATTCAGTGACCAGCTTAGCTTCCCCAAGGGATGACCTTTTCCCAGTTTACATTCTCAGTAAGTCACCCTGCTAAATGGTAATTACTTGAGCTTCAGGCAAATTTCCAAAAGGTTTTGGTCAATCTTTTTGGAATAAATAACCTTCAGTTTACCTCACTAATGCCATTTGCCTTAGCCCACTTCTGCATTAGTGACTTCATTCATTGCTGTGACTAAACTATGATTCAGTCCATTGTCGAACCATAAAACTCTTCAGTTCCGGCTTGTATCCATGGAATGGTGCTACTGGCATTCAGCGTGGGTATCCCTCAATCTCTGTAAGCACTCTCACCGACACCCAGAAACCTGTTTCCCAGTGATTCTTGACCCAGGCAGATGGATGAAGAGTGACCTGAGAAAAGTTCACTCAGAAACCTAAACTTCTTCTTGGCTACAGCCTAAAGTTAGCACCAAATATAAAAACTACTGGGCAACTAGTTAGTCAACAAATGACGACAGTGACTTCTGTCATACCAGGGCTGCCCCTTCCCATGCAGGTGGTTTTAATGTGGTCTTTGTGTAGCTTAGGGATTCAAACTGGTTTCTCACACCTTTTCCGGAAGGTGACACACACACACAAAAAAAATGAGCCACAGGTGAAAATAAATCATCCGGCTAGGCATGGTAATGCACACCTTTAATCCCAGCCCTCGGGTGCTGAGGCAGGAGGATCTCTGTGAGTTCCAGGCCAGCCTGGTCTATGTAGTAAGTTCCAGGACAACCAGGGCTATGCATAAAGACCCTATCTCAAAAAAAAATAGTAAATTATTTTGATAATTTCATAAATGTAATAAAATGTATCTTGGTCATATCCACTCCCAACGCCCCCTTCCCACTGCCTGGGGCACTTCCAACTTGTCCTCCTCTCCTTCACGCCCTCTCTCTTTTTTTCTTATTGTCCATTGAGTCTAATTAATGCTGCCTGTTGAAATGTTGGCTGCTCTGGTTGGCTTGATCTTCTACAGGTAATCATAGCTGCCTGAGGCCATGAATGTAATGGCCATATTATGTCTTGAAGACAGAATCTCCTCCCTATCCTTTGGCTTTTTCATTTTTTTAAGATGTTTAATGTAAATATTTATTGGGTTTTTTTTTTGTTTGTTTGTTTTTGGAGACAGGCTCCAGAATATTGTTGTCCCAGAACTTGATCAATATGTTGGCCAGCTGGCCTCAAACTCAGAGAAATAATAACAACATCAAGTGACAATGAATAATCTGAAGTAAACTTACTCCCTCACATCTGGGAGGAACATGAAAACACATTCCTAGAACAATTCCGTGTTTTGAAGGAACTGAGGTCACAAGACTCTTGTCTTTTGTCTTGAAATGTTCTCACAGCACTCAGAAATCTCCTCACAAGACTTCATTCCTGGACCATGTTCTCACAGGCCCCTGTTCCCAGTCGGTGCAGGGTGGGCGTATGGCTCCAGTGGTCACTGGTGCCACAGGGGATGGTTGGCTTGGCGAGGGGGCAGGGCTGGTTTTTTCGTTCTTCCTTCCCTTCTTCTGCAATGTTCCCTGAGCCTTAGGGGTTTAGGTGTTGATATAGGTGTCCCACTCAGGGCTGGGCACAGCACACAGCAGTTACTTATTCTCAGCACTTGACCTTTTAGGGTCTCTGTGTTACCACTGAGCATTGCAGAATGAAGCTTCTGGCCAATGTTGATAGATAGATAGATAGATAGATAGATAGATAGATAGATAGATAGATAGATAGATAGATAGATATAGATATAGATATATCAATTATATAGATATATCAATTATATATATCAATTATATATATCAATTATATATATTGAAATGACACACAGGCTGCAGTACAGCTAGTCCAACAATGGCTGGCTGTGAACAAAAAGTCCAAAAATCCAGTAGTTGCTCAGTCCACAAGGCTGGATGTCATAGCTGGTCTTCAGTATATGACGGAATCCCAAAGAAGTAGACTCCAATGCCAGTAGAGGAATGGATGTGCTAGCAAGATAAGGGCAAGCAGACCAAGAAGAAGGAAACCCTCCTTCTTCCAAGTCTTTATATAGACTTCCAGCAGAAGTCATGACCCAGATTAAAGGTGTGTCTTCTCACCTCAAAGATCTGGACTAGAAGTGGATTAACCCCCTTCAAACCAAGCAAAAATATTCTCTCACTGGTGTGCCCTCCATTTCTGGATTGTAATTCATTCCAGATGTAATTAAATTGACAACCAAGATTAGCCATCACAAATCCACCCCTGTCAATTGGACACATGACTGTATCTCCTTATGTCATGATTAATTTCCAAATGAAAACAACAACCAGGTCACAGTAATGCCTAAACATGATATTACTATTCCAAGGACAATTGCAAATGCATTACATATCTAACCAGGTCATAATTGTGTCTAACTGTACAACTGCAAAGACATTATACATTTGGGACAGGTGGAAATGTTCCTTGAGGGACAGACATCCTTTTAGTATCTTAAATTTAAACATGACAACCATTGATATTCTCTTCATTGATGTTACATCATCACTGATAAATTGAGGAAAGAAAACACAAATATCTGTACAAACTCATTCTTAACAAAATACAACAGAAGCACTCATGTCAACCCTAACCCTCGTTTCTGCAACCGGTCATGTGGCCTTAGCTGGTCTTTATATCTACCTTCCTTTACTACCTATTCTGTATTTCCTCCACCTCAGCAAGAACCTCAGCAGGTCTTGGCTCCTTTCCTGAAGGAGTTGCCCACACCTGATGGGTGTGTGTCCTTGTCATCTAGCCTGGATTAGGCTGCTGCAGTTTTCCGTTGACTTTAATCACAGGGCATGGGAACAACAAGAGACGCCCTAAAGGATCTCTTGCATTCCAGACGCAATCCTTCTTACCTCCATCGTGGAGAAGCAATCCGATTTCCCTTTAATAATCTGGATCAGCCACCGTCTGAAAACTCTTATTCCTTTCTTAGCCTGTTGATGTCAGTGCATTAGACACCCAAAGACCAGGGGGAAGTCTGAGCTCCAGTTCAACGAAATGATTGTTGTGGCTCCTGGCAGGAGCACTCCCTGCTCTGGAACCAAAGCAGAACTTAAGGTCGTGGGAACAGGAAGCAAAGATTTTACTAGAGGTGATAACAAGTGAAACTATTCCCTTTCCACCCTTGGACTCCTCAACCCATGGATCCTGGCTAAGGGAGAAACCATACCCTGTATTGGACGCTGATTGAAAGGATACACCGCCTTCTGGAGAACCCTGCCCAGCCCTCCAGGTTGCTGCCACCTCGTTGGCACCGTCAATGTCTTCAAAGGGCCATTCCATCTTTCTATCAGGCCCGTTGCTTAAGGATGGTAGGGAACAGGTAAGACCAGTGGGTTCCATGATAGTGGGCCCTGTTGTAGAATATTATTTTAAGATGTGTTACATTTGTTTATGCTGTGGAATATTTGTTTGGTGATGCAAAGATGTGCTGCATTCTTTTTTGTTACATTTGTTTAACTCTGTGAAGCTGTGTTACTTTGCTTGTCTAAAACACCTGATTGGGGCCGGGCACTGGTGGCTCATGACTTTAATTCCAGCACTCAGGAGGCAGAGCCAGGTGGATCTCTGTGAGTTTGAGGCCAGCCTGGGCTACAGAGAGAGATCCTGGACAGGCACCAAAACTACACAGAGAAACCCTGTCTCGGAAAAACAAATAGCAAGGCAGAAGAAAGGACAGGCAGGTCTGGCAGGCAGAGAGAATAATAGAAGGAGAAAAAGAGAAAGGGGGGGTCAAGGAACAAGAACAGGAGAGGAGGACTCTAGGGGCTAGCCACCCAGCCACACAACCAACCATGGAGTAAGAATGAAAGTAAGGTATACAGGAGTAAGAAAAGCCCTGAGGCAAAAGACATAGGGAATAATTTAAGTTAAGAAAATCTGGCTAGGAACAAGCCACGCTAAGGTATGGCATTTGTAAGTAATAATAAGCCTCCCTGTGTGATTTCTTTGGGAACTGGGTGGTGGCCCCCCCCAAAAGAACAAAGAATCAAAAGAGTAAAAAACAATCAACAACAGGGCCCACTCTCGCCCTTCTCCAGCTGTGAAGTGAGTTCCTTGGCCAGAAACAATACTGTGTGGAGTACCATGATGGTGGATAAGGCATTCTCTGAGTCTAAGGATAGTGGTTTTGGCAGAAGCATTACATGCAGGAAAGGCAAATCTATAACCAGAATAAATATCTACTCCAGTAAGGACAAAACATTGTATTGTATTTCCCATAAAGGAAGTGGTCTAATGTCAACTTGCCACCAGGTTGCTGGCTGGTCACCCCAGGGAATGGTGCCATATCCGGGGTTCAGTGTTGGTCTCTGCTGTTGGCAGATCTGGCACTCAGCAGTAGCTGTAGCCAAGTCCATGTTGTTGAGTCCATGCATAACCTCCATCTCTGTCACCATGGCCACTTTGTTCATGGACCCATTGGGCAATGCAAGGATGGCTAGAGAAAGAGGCTGACTGTCCCCAGAATGGGTCATCTTATCTACTTGCTTATTGAACTCCTTCTCAGCTGAAGTCATGCTTTGATGAACATTTACAAGAGATATAAGTATCTTCACATCCTTTGTCCATTTGGAGAGATCTATCCACATACTTCTTCCTCAGATGTCTTTCTCACCAATTTTCCAGTCATGTTCTTTCCAAGTCCCTGACCATCAAGTCAACTCATGAATCAGTGAACAATTGCACATTGGCAATTTCTCCTTCCAAACAAACTGAGTGACCATGTATGCTGCTAGAAGTTCTGCCCACTGTAAAGATTTCCCTTCACCAATATCTTTCAGGGTTGTCCCAGAAAGGGGTTGTAATGCTGCAGCTGTCCACTTCTGGGTGGTGTCTGCATAATGTGCAGAACCATTAGTGAACCAGGCCCTAGTCTTCTCTTCCTGGGTCATCCAGTCATAGGAACACCCCATGAGGCTATAGGTGCATGCTTGGCAGCAGATGACATTGTAACAGGAGTAGAAATCATAGGCAATTGAGCAACTCCTTCATGTAATTTGCTTGTAATCAGGGCTTGCTTGGGCCTGATCATGTATATACCACTTCCATTTGATAATAGATTGCTGCTGTGCACATCCTACTTTGTGACTTGCTGGGTCAGATAACACCCAGCTCATGATGAACAGCTCAGGTTGCATGGTGACTTGGTGGCCATTGTTAATTGTTCAGTTTCTACGAAGGCCCAATAGCAGGCCAAAAGCTGTCTTTCAAAGGGAGAATTGTTGTCTGTAGATGATGATAGAGCCTTGCTCCAAAATCCCCATGGTCTTTTCTGTGATTCTTCTATGGGGGATGCCGAAGTTCCCTATCTGCCACTGACACTTCAAGTACCATTAGGTCTTCTGGATCATGGTCCAAGTGGTAGAGCAGCCCACACAGCAGCCGGGACCTGTGGAAGAGCCTTCTCCTTTCCAGCTTGCACACAAAGCTAGCAGCTTTCCGAGTCACTTGGTATATGGGCTGGAGTAACACATCCAAATAGGGAATGTGCTGTCTCTAGAATCCAAAGAGGTCCACTAAATGTTGTGCTTCTTTCTCAATGGTGGGAGGGACCAGGTGCAATCAGTTATCCTTCACCTTAGTAGGAACATCTCTGCATGTCCCACACCACTGGACTCCTGAGAATTTCACAGAGGTAGAAGGTTCTTGAATTTCGGTTGGATTTATTTTCCATCCTCTGATATGCATGTACATTACCAATGAGTATGAAGTGGTTGCTACCTCCTGCTCACTTGGTCCAATCAGCATCATGTTGTTGATATAGTGCACCAGTGTGATTATTTTGTGGAAGAGACAGACAATTGAGATCCCTTCTGAGTTATGCCACAGGACCGGAGAGTTAATATATCCTCGGGGTAAAACTGTAAAGGTATACTGCTGGCCTTGCCAGCTGAAAGCAAATTGCTTCTGGTGTCCTTATGGACAGGTACCAGAAAAAAGCATTTACTAGACCAATATCTGCATACCATGTACCAGGCAGGAGGTGTATTAATCTGCTCAAGTAAGGCCACCACATCTGGTGCGGCAGCTATAGTTGGGGTCATTGCATCACTGAGTTTTCAATAGTTGACTGTCATTCTCCACGATCCATCTGTCTTCTGCGCTGTCCAAGTAGAAGAGTTAAAGGGAACCACCACCCCTGCATCTTTCAAGTCCATGATGGTGGCACTCATTTCTGAAATTTCTCCAGGATTGTAGGACTGGGTTTTTGTTGTTGTTTGTTTTTTGTTTTTGTTTGCTTGTTTGGTTTGGTTTTTGGCTTTTTGAGACAGGGTTTCTCTGTGTAATTTTTGGTTCCTGTCCTGGAACTCGCTCTGTAGACCAGGCTGGTCTCGAACTCACAGAGATCTGCCTGGCTCTGCCTCCCGAGTGCTGGGATTAAAGGCGTGTGCCACCAGTGCCCGGTGCAGGACTGTTTTTGATTCACTAGTTTCTTTGGCAAAGGCAACTCTAAAGGCCCCATTCAGCCTTTCTGACAATAACAGTCCTCACTCCACAGGTCAGGGAACCAATGTGAGAATTCTGTCTATGCCAATTATACATTCTGGAACTGGGGAAACAGCCACAGGATGAGTTTGGGGACCCACTGGACCTACTGTGAGTCAGTCTTCAGCAAAAGCTCCATTAATCACCTGACCTCCATAAGCCCCTACTTTAACTGGAGGGCCACATTGTTTCTTGGTATCTCCCGGAATCAGTGTCAATTCAGACCCAGTATCTAATAGGCCCCAGAAAATCTGATCAATTCCTTTCCACCAGCATACAGTTATCCTTGTGAAAGGCTGTAGGTCCCTCTGGGGAAGGACTGGAAAATGGTTAGCAAACTCCTAGGTGTCTTATCCAGGTCCTTCTTCAGGGAAACCTGGCTGTCCCTCCATTCAAGGGGTTCTGGGTCTGCAAACTGGCTCAAGCCTGGAAATTGATTCACTGGCCAAGATTGCCTTTTACCACGATCCTCCTTATAGGAGCATGGGTGACTCAAAGGCAGCTTTTATCACCCCAAACCCGTCTAGCAAGGATGAGGTCCCCAGAAAGCTGCATCCCCAGAGCTCACAACTTGCAGGCAGCTTGGCTGGCCAGTCTCCTCTCCCCAGCGATTGTCACTGCTTAGATAATGTCGAGGTGGAGTCTGGTGGATCTTGTAACTTTCTGAGTTTCCTAAACCTGGGAAGTTGAGCGAGTTTCTCTCCTCCCACCAGGAGGCACGTTTTAGTTCAGAGGAAAAAAGCAACAGAGAGAGCAGGAGATGATGGAAGAGATGTCAAAGCATTTGGGGTTTAATTGCTATACAATGTGGGGGTCACCTTCCGGACAGTGGGGTGAAAGCGCTAGATCTTTGTCATATTTCCCTCTCCACCCATTTCCCCAGCTTAGTCCTACACACAGAACACACGGGACCCGGCTCGCTCTGTGTGTTCCACTGCTCAAGACCCACAGATTTTAAGAAGCCTTTTAACACTGGCAGACTGGACTGAATGTCATCAGCATAGCCCCAGGATCCGAGTCACTGTGTCATTGTTCCTTTAGAAGGCTCCTGAACCCATTTCTGCTCCATTTGCTCAGTCCTAAGGGGTGGGGCAGGGGGAGGAGGTGGGAGTCCAGCAGAGGTGTTGACATGATTGGAATGTTCCCCCGGCTTCTACAATACCTCCTGGAAATTTTTGCCTGAAGCTATCATGGCAGTTTCTCTGATGTCCTTTGAGCCCAGGTCAGCAGACACAGGACAGGGGTGAATTAGAACATATAGACACCAGCTGAGTGAGCACAATTCAGAGCTGACTCCTACTGCATTTGTCAGGGTTCTCTAGAGTAACATAACTTATAGAATGCACACACACACACACACACACACACACACACACACACACGATTTATTGGAATGACTTACAGGCTGCATTCTAGCTAATACAACAATGGCTGGCTGTGAACAGAAAGTCCAAAATTGAGTAGTTGCTCAGTCCACAAGGCTGGTGGCTCAGCAGG